GTATGCAGCAGTGGTGGCAGCTTCAGCTCCAGAAAAGGGCAGAAGACAGAACTGTACTGCATGTAGCTCTGGCTTCAGCATGGGACTACTGCCACTACCACCTTGTGGCCTGGATAGGAGCCAGAGTTGTCACTGTCACATGCCCTGGCCCAAACCCAGACCACACGGAGCCCTGCCCTCTGGACCTGGCCCATGGCTCATGGTGAATTTCGCACCCCCGCCTTAGGCTATTATTCTCTATGTGCACCAGTCACTATGGGTACATGACACTGGCTTTGTTAGTGTTTTACAAGACTGTTCACTCTAACAGACTGTAAGGAATCAAGATTGATTAATTCTGCTGCTATCCATGTTAGATTGGAAGATTTAAAGTTGGTACTTTTGGCTTTGAATGATATTTTTTTTATTTGTACAAAGTTCATTTGTGCATGCATCTCAAAAGTAGACTTGCAGGGTGTGGCAGGACACTGTTTGTGCCTGCCACTTTAAGGGCCTGGAGCTGGCAGCTGCCTGATGAGGGCAGCCATTTTGGACCTAGGGCTGCCCATATAAATAGGACAGTTCTGCTACTGGAGGCCAGGCAACAACATTGCCTAGCCAGAGGGCTGCTGGTATCATCTGGAGACAAGGGAGGAGCTGTAGGGGGATGGTAAGGAGGATCCTGGTCCTGGGCATGACCTAAAACTTCACCCTGCTGGGAGTGGGTGGCCTGGTGGGGCTCTCAGGGGCGCGGGAGCCCCCAGGAAATACCAGGCCAATTACCACCCTGGTGAAAGGCGGTTTGGGGCACCTTAACCCATAGCCCCCACAACTGGGTGGATTACCCCTTCGTAGGGGCTGGAGGGCAGACCCCTGGAGAGAGAGAAAAGGCCACAGACTCACACCTATCTGGACTTCTTCTTACTGGTCAATGCTGGGGCCAGGACCCGAAGGGCCGGGGGCCCACCATAAGAAACACCCAAGAGCTGCGGGCCTAGGGTTCTGATGGGCCTGGAGGTGGGCCAGGGCTAGTGAGCCAAAGGTCCTGGGGGGACCACACCCAAAGGGGAAGCAGTTCAGGGAGCTATGCTGCCTAGTATGAAGGTGGATGAGACTGCCTGAGGAGAGGAATCCAGTCGGGGTTCAATTAGGAGGATTCTGGGGCCCAGAGTGGGGGCTGGTGATGATGATATCATCTAGATACCATCTGCAAGGCTTGGGCTGCAGTGTAGGGGAGGAAAGGAGCCGCAGATAGCATCCCCTGGCATTGGGGCAAGAAATGGGCAGCCTCCCACTTAATTACATCATTAACTAATTAATTCCAATGAGGCGTGGCAGGTGAGAACGTGGGCAGTTAGCCCAGAAACAGGTGGGCGGGCCATGGTTAAATCGGCCCCGAGAAGGCCCCCTGTTACACAGGGGTAACACCATCTTACAAATATCATGCCCAAATGTGCAGATAATCATATTGCTTTTCAGATTGCATAAGTGGAATAGGCATGTGACTACCATCTTTGAGACATGGCTTCTTTGGGACCTGTGCAATCTCTTATTTCCTCATGTCATCTATACGAGCAGAATGCTTCCCTTCTAGGGTGAGGATAGGAGGTCTTGCTACATCTGAAGAGATTTTCATGGGGATAATAAAAAGCTTCAGGCTTCATTGATGTCCTGCTGCCAAATTTCACTGAAGTGCAAGAGCTGTTAAGGCAGTTTTCTCTAGTGGTTAGGCCACTAAGGGATGGCTAGGGGACAGGGGCTAGGTCAGAATTCAGGACCCAAATTACCAGATCTGAAACGAAATCCAGGGGCAGAGTCTACAACCCAGGCAAGGATCAAGATACAGGGATCAGATGCTGAGTTACAAAATCCAAAGGACAATCTGCAGGGCAAAGTCTAAGAATAGAGCCAAAATCAGGGTCTATTACGTGAAACTAAATGGGTAGTTGCACTCCCAAAAGTCAATCAGGAAGCCAACCAGTTAATTATCTGGGATAGAGCTGTCAGTCACAGGCAGCTGTGGTTACCTAAGCCAGGGATGCTCAACCCCCAGCCCATGGGCCAAATGCAGATCACTGAACCATGGCATCTGGCCTGCAGGACTCCCAGTGGGTTGGGATCTGATTTGTCCGAATCGAATCAGGACAGTGATTCGAATCTCCAAATTGAACTGCTGTCCTCCGAATCAGCCGAATCCAAAGTGAATACTTGCCGCTTTGCACAGGCCTAGTGTGGGCCCTATCCTGGGCTTTAGTTGCCTCAGTTCCTTACAGAAAGACTGATTACCAGGGATCCTGGCTTTCTCTTATTCAAAGAAATTCCCAATGTTTGGATTAAGAAAACGAACCCAAAAATCCACATTTATCTACGATTAAAATGAAACATCACTACATCAATCAAGTTATTGATCTATCTATTATTCTAATATAATAAAAGCCTTAGTCTGTCTGTAATAGTGTCATAGTTGGTAGTGTTGGAAGGGACCTGAGCAGATCATCAAGTCTGACCCCCTGCCATGGCAGGAAAGAGTACTGGGGTCAAACGACCCCGGCAAGGTGTTCATCTAGCCTCCTCTTAAAGACCCTCAGGGTAGGAGCCAACACCACTTCTTTCAGACGTTGGTTCCAGATCCTAGTCACCCTGACAGTGAAGTAGCACCTCCTGATGTCTAGCCTGAATCTACCCTCTGCCAGCTTGTGACCATTATTTCTAGTGCTCAGGGGAACAGGGACTCCCCCATTGCCTGCTGGTCCCCTCTGACTAGTTTGTAAATGGCCACTAGATTCCCCCTCAGCCTTCTCTTGTGGAGGCTGAACAGGTTCAGGTCCCTTAGCCTCTCCTCGTAGGGCCTGCCTTGCTGTCCCCTGATCATGCGAGTGGCACTCCTCTGGACGCTCTCCATGTTGTCCATATCCCTCCTGAAGTGCAGCACCCAGAACTGGATGAAGTACTCCAACTGCAGCCTGACCAATACCGCATAGAGGGGGAGGATCACCTCCTTGGACCTTTTTGAGATGCACCTGTGGATGCATGACAAGGTACGGTTGGCCTTCCTGACCGCATCCCCAACACTGTTGACCCATGTTCATTTTGGCATCAATAATGACTCCAAGATCCTTTTCTCCCTCTGTACTGGCGAGAAGGGAGTTTCCCAGCCTGTAGGTATGCTGCTGGTTCTTCCCCCCAGGTGCAATACCTTGCACGTGTCAGTGTTGAAACCCATCCTGTTCCCATCCTGTAATGCTCGGGCCAACTATGCATGCACCCCTGAGGGCGGGTGGTGACTGGCTGGCCCAGGCAGGTGTGGGCACAACTTTGAGATGGGGTTTAGGGAAGGGAGCTGAGGCAGCCAGGGGTGACGGAGCCACCGCACCCCTGGCCCTGACAACAGCTGCAGCACCATACGAGTCCCACCACTGGGTGGGCTGAGTAGCAAGGCACATGGGGCCGCACCATCAAATCAGTGGCAGCGAGGCAAGGAGCAGAGGTTGAGCCCAGCCAGAGGTGCCCTGTGCAAACTAGGGTGCCACATGCCTCCCCCCACTTGGCTCCCTGGTCCGGCACCTCTAGAGAAGCTGCCAATGACCCGGCCCAGCCAGGGCCCCTGTCACCATGAATGGGGCCCCAGCCAAGCCGGGCCAGGTTGTGGGGCAATCCCCAGTGTAGGAGGGAGCAGGGCAGGGGCAAGGGTGAATAATTCAGCCCTGCCCCACTCCCTCCTGCACTGTGGGGGCCTCAATCTGCCCACTCCCCCCCGCCCCCCCCCAAGCTCAGCCAGTCAAAAAGAAACTAGATTAAGATAAATTTACCTGCCTGCTGGCCTGGCTGCGATTTTGGCTTCTCAGGGAATCTCAATGTGCCTGCCCCTCCCCACCTGCTGAAGCAGCCTATGGCCAGGTTTCCCTGTGTTTGTGGGGGTTAGCCCTGTTAGCCCCCACCTTCTACCACCTATGGGAAGCAGGGGGGTGGTGGGAGGTCATGCACAGCTGGATGCAGAGTGGTGGCAGCACAGAGCACTAGGTGGCAGCTCTAGCTACTGCATACAATCTTCCCCCCACTTCCTGGGAAGGAGCAGCTACCAGGGAAGTGGGCCCAGGCTCAGAGCAGCTGCAGGGGGTGGAGGGAAGGGATCAGGTCTGGATATGAACCAGTGGGGGGAGGGGGAGTGGGACACAGGGCTCCACCCCTGCCCGCCCATCATTCTTGACAGGCAATTTCCTGGAACAGTGGCAGGAGTAGGCCCAGAGCAGCAGGAGAAGCGGGGGCATGGGACTGGATATGGGCTCTGTCCTTGTCCAGCCCTATTATTCTTGATGAGCAATTTTCTGGTCTATCTATATTAGTGGTGTTCAGGTTTCTTCCAATTAGTGGTGTTTCATTTTAATCATGGAAAAATTGGGATTTGGGTTTACTTTAATCCAAAAATTATTTGTTTGTTTTTTAAAGTCAGAGAAAACCAAGATCCCTTCTGATTACCCATGTGACATAAAAATGACCACATAGGTACCAGTTGGCATCACTGGATCTATGCATTTCCTTATAATAAAGCTATTATAAGCTAAATCCATGGTAATTTTAATGAAACAAAGTAGGGGAGGGGGGACAGTAATAGACAAAAGCTAGCATAACAGAAAGGGAAAGAAAACAGAAGGGATTCATACTTCCCAACATTATAGCATTTTGGTTCAATGTCTTCAACTGCATATTAATTATTTTGGTGTCTAATATTATTGTGATCTAGAATCACTTTCTTCTCCAATGTGATATTATCCCAGTACGTTTAATGTCTCTCCCTAGGAAAAGGAACAGACCTATTTCTTATTGAACATGGGTCTAGCTTCATTTAACATGAACTGAAAGTTGCCTCCTGAAAATCTATTGACAAGGCCTTCAAGGAAAAGGCCTCTGTGTAGAAACCTGCTGATAAGTTAGCCCCAGGCCACTTTCCAGTAAGAAGTCACAACTCTACAATGATGGAAAGGATCATTAAAGAACAGCCTTGCAGTAGGTTCTCTCTGTACCTGTAGACAGCCCGCTTGTCAGCCTCCAGCTGTGCCTGAGGGTCAATGGGAGTGCTTGGGACAGGGGTATTGGCTGCTGCTGAGGGTGTTGTAATGTGCACTGGCTGTGCCTTAGCTGGCTGTTGTGTTGTGGCAGTCATCTGTTAAAACAAGATAAGAAAGCATTGGGATTAATAACAAATAAGGTCAGTGAGTGTGTGCATGCATGGTGAGAGTCATTGTAACTGTGGGTATGGAGGAGAGAATAAACATATGTTTGTTTGTGACTGTGTGCAATGTGGGTTTGAGTCCAGATGTTTATATATGTGTGCTTATCATATCTGTGCTTTTGTACATCTCTGTCCTACCTAGATGTATCTATGTGCATGTCTGGATGTCTGACTTTTCAGGGGTTCCATGCATCTTGAAATGTGTCACTGAATACACACACACACACACACGTGAAAATGAGTCCAAATTCCTATCTGTCAATATTCCTTCACAGTTAGGGGTCTCTTTCTCAATGGATGCATCATGTATCAAATGTTTGTCTTAAGCATTGCCCATCTCACTACTGTCTTGACGCAACTGACTTGTATCAGTTTATTTGGCTCCCCGATGTATTTTTGGAAATCTATGTCAACATCTCTTGACAGTGAATCCATGAAGTAGCATGTGATGGAAAAAGAATGCCAGCACTGTTAGAAAATACTGATCCCAAATGCCTAGTCCCTTTCCCATTTCAGAGATGTGTTGAAAGTTTAGTCCAGTTTCTTTAAAAATAAATTTCTGACATGAACAACAGCAAGAACCTTAAGAAGAGCAGACTGATTTCTCCATTGTCCTGTACTTTGTACCATAATTTACCCTGGTTCAACTTAAATGCAAAATAGGTGCAAACCTCTTAATATTTTGAAGTACTATTCTTTCAGTTTGATTTAAATAACTATCATCATCATCATCATTTACAGAAGGCTCAAAATGCTCCAAAGCACCATTAGCATTAAGGCAAAACCTCAATAGCATTAATTTAATCACTCAGGCAGGAACTCTTCTAATCACCTGCAACAAAATCCCCCTTCTACATGTCTGCCATTTCCAAGAGAAAGCACCTGGAGCCCTTTCCAGAGACCTTTCTAGGCAAGTGTCTTTTACAGTATATCCTTTAGTTTAGATCACCAAATCTGGGTTCCTTTGGACCATTTTATACTGCAAGGTGTGCAAGTGATGCCATAAGTCATATGGCAGTAGTGCACTGGATGGAGCAGTGAGAGTGACCACACAGTTATAACACATTGGGCACATCAACACATGTGATTGTGCACAAATAAACTCTGGAACTTATTGCTCTGGAATTTTTTTCTCCTGGGTGCACTGTTTGAAGATGTGCACAGGAACAAAAAACTCCTGAGTATACTGCTTTGTAGTTTATTCATGAACAGCATGTGGAGCCCCATTGGCATAGGTGATGCATAGTGGGAGCACAGCAGGGCATGTACCCCCCTTGAGATTGCCTGAAGAAGCCAGTGGTGGCTTCAGCAGCAGCCAGTCTCCACCCCCGCCGAATGCAGCCACCGGCGGGGGTGGGCAGTCTCCACGCCACCACCACCAACCAACAGCATGGATGGCGGCTGTGGGCAGTCCCTGCTCACCACCTGCTACTTGCCACCCCCCTGCCCACCACCAACACTACTGCGGCCCATCTCCGCTTGGCCCATCCTCACCAACAATATCACCACAGCCACCTGCAGGTGGTTCCTACTCACCCCTGCCACCAACACCACCAGTGCTTGTGGGTGGTTGCCGTGCCCTCTGCCCCCCTCCCCTCCCCCTCAGCCTGGAGGCATGCATCATTCATGCCTGTCAGAGCAGCTTGGGTTGACAGGAGACCCAGGGGGTGAGCCTGCCGGCTGTTGGCACTGGATTTATGACCCAGATACCTTGTTCTGTGTGGACCCAAACCCTCAGACCAACCACATCTTCTTCCCTTCGATATTAGGTAAATTTTATTGATATAGGGTGCATCTACATGAGACACTAACTGTGCAGTGCAAAAGTCATGCCAATATGCTACTGGGAAGTAATATTAAGCTACTGCACAGTTTGAGTCCCTAAAAAGTTGTGCACCAGTGCTACTGTGCAGTAGCGTCAGTTACTGTGCATTGATTTAATACTTGGTTACGTCATGTCATGCTATAGATGCTCAGGGAACAGTGTGGTACGTATCTTCAATTTCACAGCCTTTTTATGCCTGCTTATCAATTGGCCTCATACACAATGTCTACCTTGAAGGAAACTGTCAAAAAGAGGCTTTTTAAAACCAATTAACCAGTTCCATTCCCCTGAAGTATTGTTCTAATCCAATATCTATTTTACTTATAAGCCAGTTCCTAAAAGCAAACCTCTAAATCTTTTTCTAGCCATCACCAGCCCAACAGTACTCCAACCAGGCTCCATGTGCTGTGGAGCATCCCAACTGGGGCACAAGGGTGCGTCAGCATGGGAGCTACCTGTTGGCTAACTCTGTGCTGAAGGACCCTGTGCCCCAGCCAGCCAGGGCAGCGTCTACATGTGGGCTGCCACACTTGGGGAAAAAAAAACAAAAAAAAAACCCCATACCAACCCCCCAAACCAAAAAAAAAACCCCAACCCCCCCCACCTCTGCCTCAGGGTAGTACAGGGTAATCTTACAAATACTACCCTGCTGTGACATTTATTAGTTTTGTGCACCCCAATACGGGTGCACATGTAGATGCTTAGATGGTTACTGTGCGATTAATTAGTCAATTGCACAGTAAATGTTTTGTAGATGCACCCCTTGGGTCTGAACTGGAATAGCAATCAAACATGGGATAGATATCTGGGACAACATGTGGTAGGAAACCTGGGACAACTGGGATATCCAGACAGTGACTGCTCCCCACCTTAGCCAGTGGTGCTTTTGCAGGCAGTAGCAAAGGCTGGCAAGCAGAAGTACAGGCACAGTCCAAACTGTGCCTTGCACCCCTACGATTCTGGGACTCCCATTTTATTTATTTATTTATTACCAACCACCTGAGACTGACCGACAAAATCTAGGACTTCCCTGTCCAAACTGGGTCATATGGTCACCCTAGGTATATAAAAATCCCTGCCATTAGTAGAATCCACAGGTCAAAGCTAGTTGCACAAGCTTCCTAAAAAATACATAAAGGGCATTTCCAAACATTAGGAAACTTTTTACATTTGCTTCACTGCATTTTTTGAAAACTGGGGTGGAATCTATACTTAATGTACTATGCTGTATTCTGTATAATAAAAGAGGATGTATGTTAGAAGGGGACTGAAGCTTGGGGCAGGGGTTGTGAAATGTGGAAATAAAGGAAAAGGAATGAAAGCCAAAAAGCATGCAAAGAAAGACATGAAGAAACATATTTATTTGAAGATGCACTTGTGGCTAGGTATTACAAAAAACAAAATTAGAAGGTCACTCTTTCAAGCATTATGTTACATTTATTTCCACCCTGGATTTGTACCAAGCAACTTGTAGATTTAGTCTTTACCCATAGAGGTCTTTTAACCGTTTACCTCCAAAGAGGAAGCAGCCCTATTTTCCTGACCATCCTGCAATATTATAATACAGCACAGAATGATGCTTCTAATGTAGGCCACTGTCTCCCATATAAAGAATAGGAATAGAAAACCATTAAAGCTTTGCACAGACTTCATGCAGAAGTGCTGGAAGGAGAGCAGCCTTCAAGTGCTTGCTACATTACTTTGGCACATTGTGCCAAATGAATGAGAATAAATCGATGCCAAAGGAATACGATTCAGAGAAGACAGCACACCTAGTGAGAAACCAACCAACAAAGCTAAAACAAGAAATATTAAGGAGAAGGATCCAATACAGAGCTGGAGCTGGCACTAGGCTTGTGCAAAACAGCTAGTATTCACTTTGGATTTGGCTGATTTGAGGGACAGCGATACAATTTGGTGATTCGAATCACTGTCCCGAATTGATTCAGCCAAATCTGATTTGGAGACTCGACTGCTGCGGGGCCTCCCTCTCCCACCCCCTACTTACCAGCTGTGAGTTTAGCTCCAGCCCCCTGCTGCAATGGGTAGGGACTGCCTGAATCACCAAAGGTCTCCGAATTGATTCAGAGAGCTTCAAATAGATTCGTACCTTTTAATTGGTCCCTTGATTTGATTCGGATTTGGAGATTCGACCACTGAATCGGGCTGAATCTCCTCCGAATTGAATCAGCACCCAAAGCTTTGCACAGCCCTAGTAAGCACCTCACCTCATTAAGGGGTCCAGCCACCAAATTTCTTGTAATTATGTACCCAAGGGCAGACATTTTCCATCAGGAACTCAAGGAAAGATGGAGGTGCTGGAGGTGTCAACTAGGGCTGTATGAAGCTTTGGTCCTTGATTCAATTTGGTGGAGATTTGGCTCAATTTGGTGGCTGGATCTCCAAATACAAATCAAATCAGGAGACCCTTTAACTTCTCCAAATTGAATCAGAACCCTTCTAATCGATTCAAAGAGATTTGGCAATTTGGATATAGACACGACTTTAAATGTTTTTTCTGCATACCTCAAGGTACCAGGTGCCTCAATGCCATGATGCTGGGGCAGGTGGAGCATCCCACAGGAGTGTGGGGGCCTCCCCAGTGCACATGGCAGCAGACCCAGAAGTGGGCCAGAAGCACTTCTGGTACACTTCCAGGTCTGCCAGGGAGTGTGCGGGCCCCCACCCCTGCCCTCCCAGCTCAGTGACTGGAGTCTCCTGGATCTGGGGGGGGCACCCAGAGTCCCCCCACAGCCGTTCACCGGGCCAGGGAGGTGCAGGGAGGGGGCAGTGTGCTCCCCAGTGGACACAGAAGTGGACCAGAACTACTTCTGGTCCACTTCTGGGTTTGCCGCTGAGCAGAGAAGTGCGGGACCCCTTTGTGCTTCTGTGGGATGCTCCATCCTCCCCAGCATTGACAAGCAGTGCCTGGTACCTTGAGGTATGTAGAAAAAACATTTAAGGCTGTGTCTATGGCAGAATCGCTGATTCTCTGAATCAGCATCGAATCTTCAGATTCTGATTTGGCCGAATCAAATTGGGGACAGTGATCCAAATCAACAAATCGAATCACTGTCCCCAGTTCGGGCCAAATTCGAATTGAATA